AAGCAAGATGCCTGCCTTGGCCTTCCAAAATGCTGAGATTACAGGCATGAGCCACCACACTGGCCTGATGCTTTATTTTTAGACACAGATCTTGCCATATTGACCAAGCTGGACTTGAAATCTTGGGCTCACACTATCCTCCTGACTCAGCCACTATGCCCAGCTCCTAGGGTTCTTTTCTTTTGAGGCAAAATTTACACAGAGTAAAATCCATAAATCTTGCATACCATTCCATAAGTTGGTATGCAGACACCTGTGTAATATAAACCCGTATCAAACTGCTGCTTATTAACATCACCCCAGAAGGTTCTCTTGTGCCCCGTTACTTCCCCAGAGGCAACTGAACTTCAGTTTAACCAGTTCTATAACTCCATGTGTACCGAACCATATACTATATACTCTTGGGTGAGACTCCCCAATGTTGCATGTATCAACATGTATTCCATTGGGTTATTGCTTAACCGGTCAATTTAGTTACTGGTCTTTTCATTACTGAGTTGTAAGAATTCTTTCTATACTCTAGATACACATTTCTTATAAAATTTATCACTTACTCTGGCTGGGCATGGTGGTTCACACCTGTAATTCCAGCATATTGGGAGGCTGAGGCAGGCAGATCACTTGAGGCCAAGAGTTCAAAATCAGCCTGGCCAACATGGTGAAACCCATCTCTTCTGAAAATATAACAATTAACTGGGCGTAGTTGGCACATGCCTGTAATCCCAACTATTTGGGAGGCTGAGTCATGAGAATTGCTTGAACCTAGCAAGTAAAGGTTGCAGTGAGCTGAGATTGTGCCACTACACTCCAGCCTGGGTGACAGAGTGAGACTGTGTCTCAAAAAAAAAAAAGAAAGAAAGAAAAGAAAAAGGCCGGCGCAGTGGCTCACGCCCCCAGCACTTTGGGAGGCTGAGGTGGGTGGATCACGAGGTCAAGAGATCGAGACCATCCTGGTCAACAGATCGAGACCATCCTGGTCAACAAGGTGAAACCCCGTCTCTACTAAAAATACAAAAATTCGCTGGGCATGATGGCTGTGCCTGTAATCCCAGCTACTCGGGAGGGTGAGCCAGGAGAATTGCTTGAACCCAGGAGGCAGAGGTTTCGGTGAGCCGAGATCATGCGGTTATACTCCAGTCTGGGTGACAACAGCGAAACTCCATCTCTAAATAAAGAAAAGAAAAAGAAAAAAAGCCGGGCACAGTGGCTCACGCTTGTAATCCAAGCACTTTGGGAGGTTGAGGCAGGTGGATCATCTGAGGTCAGGAGTTTGAGATCACCCTGGCCAACATGGTGAAACCCTGCCTCTACTAAATACAAACTTTAGCTGGATGTGCTGGCAAGCACCTGTAATCCCAGCTACTTGGGAGGCTGAGGCAGGAGAATTGCTTGAAACCAGGAGTCGGAGGTTGCAGTGAGCCCAGATTATGCCACTATACTCCAGCCTGAGCAACTAGAGTAAAACTCCATCTCAAAAAAAAAAAAAAAAAGCCAGAAAGGAAAAGAAAAAGAGGCTGCACATAGTGCTTGCATCCCTAATCCCAGCACTTTGGGAGGCTGAGGTGGGTGGATCACCTGAGGTCAAGAGTTTGAGACCAGCATGGGCAATATGATGAAACCCTGTCCCTTCTAAAAATACAAAAATTCATGCCTGTAATCCCAGTACTTTGGGAGGTTGAGGTGGGCGGATCATGAGGTCAAGAGATCGAGACCATCCTGACCAGCATGGTGAAACCCCGACCCACTGAAAAATACAAAAATTAGCCAGGTGTGGTGGTGCGTGCTTGTAGTCCCAGCTACTCAGGAGGCTGAGGTGGAAAAGACACTTGAACCGGGAGGCAGAGATTGCAGTCAGCGGAGATTGCACCACTGCACTCCAGCCTGCTTTCAGAGCAAGACTCTGTCTCAAAAAAAAAAAAAAAAAAAAAGACCCAAAAAATTAGCCAGGTGTGGTGGCAGGTACCTGTAATCCCAGCTACTCAGGAGGCTGAGGCAGGAGAATTGCTTGAAATCGGGAGGCAGAGGTTGCAGTGAGCCAAGATGGTGCCATTGCACTCCATCCTGGGCAACAAGACTAAAACTCCATCTCAATAAAAAAAAAAAAAAAAAAAAAAAAAAAAAAAAAGAAAAAGAAAAGATTTATAACTTACAATTATTTTCTCTCTCTCTTTTTTTTTTTCTTTGAGACAGGGTCTTGCTGTCTCACTCAGGCGGGAGTGCAGATACAGAATCATGGCCCACTGCAGTCTGGACTGTACAAATATTTTCTGTTATCCTATGTGTTGTCTTTTCATTATCCTGTGGGTGTCCTTTGAAGCACAAAAGTTTACATTTAGATAAAGTAGAATTTCTCTATTTTTTCTGTTGTTGTTTACACTTTTTTCCTAAGAAGTCTTTGCCAAATCAAGGTTATGACTTTCCCCGTTGTGAAATTTAAAAAAAGAGAAAATATTTGTAAGTTTTAAATCTTTTTTTTTCTTTTTTTAGGTTAGTTTTGGTTTCATTTTTTAAATTAATTAATTAATTTTTTTTTTTTTTGAGATGGAGTTTCGCTCTTGTTACCCAGGCTGGAGTGCAATGGCATGATCTCAGCTCACTGAAACCTCCGCCTCCTGGGTTCAGGCAATTCTCCTGCCTCAGCCTCCTGAGTAGCTGGGATTACAGGCATGTGCCACCATGCCCAGCTAATTTTTTGTATTTTTAGTAGAGACGGGGTTTCACCATGTTGATCAGGATGGTCTCGATCTCTTGAACTCGTGATCCACCCGCCTCAGCCTCCCAAAGTGCTGGGATTACAGGTGTGAGCCACCGTGCCCGGCACAGTTTTGGCTTTAGAACTTACATTGAGGTCTTTGACACATTGTGAGCTATTTCTTTACATATGGTGTGAGCTAAGGTCTTAACTTCATTCTTTCACATGTTGTTATCCAGTTTTCCAGGCCTCCTTTGTTGAAAGGGCATTCTTTCCTCATTAAATGATCGTTGTACTTTGTCAAAAATCATTTGACTAGGCCAGGCATGGTGGCTGACATCTGTAATCCCAGCACGTTGGGAGGCCAAGGCGGGCAGATCACCTGAGGTCAGGAGTTTGAGAATAGCCTGGCCAACATGGTGAAATGCTGTCTCTACCAAAAATACAAAAATTACCTGGGCATGGTGGTGCAGGCCTGTAGTCCCCGCTACTTGGGAGGCTGAGGCAGGAAAATCACTTGAACCCGCAAGGCAGAGGTTCTAGTGAGCTGAGATCATGACAGAGCACTCTAGTCTGGACAACAGAGTAAGACTCAGTCTCAATAAATAAATAAATAACACATATATGTAAAATATGTATATCAATTGACCATATATTATGGGTTTATTTTGGCCTCTCATTTCTTCTTCTTTTTTTTTGAGACAGAGTCTCACACTTCACCCAGACTGCAGTGCAGTGGTGCGATCTCAGCTCACTGCAATCTCTGCCTCCTGGGTTCAAGCAATTCTCCTGCCTCAGCCTCCAGAGTAGCTGGGACTATAGGCACACGCCACCACACACAGCTAATTTTTTGTACTTTTAGTAGAGACGGGGTTTCACCATGTTGGCCAGGATGGTCTCGATCTCCTGACCTCATGATCCTCCCGCCTTGGCCTCCAAAAGTGCTGGGATTACAGGTGTGTGCCACTGCGCCTGGCCTGGACTCTAATTTCTATTCCACTAACCTATATGTTTATCCTTGTGCTATTAGGACCACACTGTCTTGATTACCATTGCTTTGTAGTAAGTTTTGAAGTTGGGAAGTGTGAATTCTCCTATTTTGGTCTTTTCTGGAATTGTTTTTGGCTTTTCTGTGTCCTTTGCAATTCCATATATGTTATTATTATTATTTTTTTAGTTTTAGAAATGTAGTTGTTCTCTGTCACCCAGGCTGAAGTGCAGTGGTGTGATCATTGCTCACTGTAGCCTCAACCTCCTGTAGCTGGTACTACAGGCACACACCACCATGCATGGCTAATTTTTAATTTTTTGTAGCAACAGGATCTCACTACATTGCCCAGGCTGATTTTCAGCTTCTGACTTCAAAACTTTTTTCTGCCTCAGCCTCCTGAGTAGCTGAGATTCCAAGTATGTGCCATTTTGCACTGGGCAGATTTTTTAAAAGTTCTATTGCAATCATGTATTACTCTATTAATCATATCATTTTAGCCACTTGCAGTGGTGTATACCTGTGGTCCCAGCTCCTTTGGAAGCTGAGTTGCAGATGGCTCACTGGAGTTCAGGAATTTGAGACCAATCTGGGAAAAATAGCAAGACCCCATCTCTCTCTCTCTCATCCTTTTTTTTTTTTTTTTTTAGACTGTTACCCAGGCTGGAGTGCAATGGCGCAATCTCGGCTCACCACAACCTCCGCCTCCTGGGTTCAGGCAATTCTCCTGCCTCAGCCTCCCGAGTAGCTGGGACTACAGGTGCACACCACCATGCCCAGCTAATTTTTTGTATTTTTAGTGGAGACAGGGTTTCACCATGTTGACCAGGATGGTCTTGATCTCTTGACCTCGTGATCCACCTGCCTCGGCCTCCCAAAGTGCTGGGATTACAGGCTTGAGCCACTGCGCCTGGCCCTCTCTCTCACTTTTTTTTTTTGAGATAGAGTCTTGCTCTGTCACCTATGCTGAAGTGCAGTGGTGCAATCTCAGCTCACTGCAATCTCCACCTCCTGGGTCCAAACAATTCTCCTGCCTCAGCCTCTCAAGTTGCTGGGACTACAGGCACACCACCAGGCCTGGCTAAATTTTTTGTATTTTTAGTAGAGACAGGGATTCACTATATTGGCCAGGGTGGTCTCGAACTCCTGACCTTGTGACCAACCCACCTCAGCCTCCCAAAGTGCTGGAATTACAGGTGTGAGTCACCACACCTGGCTTTTTTTTTTTTTTTTTTTTTTTTTTTTGAGATGAGTCCTGTTCTTGTGGCCCAGGCTGGAGTACAGTGGCGTAATCTGGGTTTACTGCAGCCTCCACATCCCAGGTTCAAGCGATTCTCTGCCTCAGCCTCTGGAGTAGCTGACATTATAGGCACCTGCCACCATGCCCAGCTAATTTTTTTGTATTTTTAGTAGAGATGGGTTTCACCATCTTGGCAGGATGGTCTTTTAACTCCTGACCCCATGATCCATCTGCCTTGGCCTCCCAAAGTGCTGGGATTACAGGCATGAGCCACTGAGGCTGGCCCCTCTCTCTTTATCCTTTTTTTGAGATGGAGTCTTGCTCTGTTGCCCAGACTGGAGTGCAGGGATTCCATCTCGCCTCATTGCAACCTCTGCCTCTTGGGTTCAGGCAATTTTCATGTCTCAGCCTACCGAGTAGCTGGGATTACAGGCCTGCATCACCACACCTGGCTAATTTTGTATTTTCAGTAGAGATGGGGTTTCGCCATATTGGCCAGGCTAGTCTTGAACTCCTGAACTTAAGTGAGCTGCAGGCCTCAGCCTCCCAAAGTGCTGGGATTACAGGCATGACCCACCATGCCCAGCCAAGATCCCCATCTCTTAAAACAGAATCATGCTTTTTTTTTTTTTGAGATGGAGTGCAGTGGTTTAATCTTGGCTTACTGCAATCTCTGCCCCCCAAGTTCAAGTGATTCTCTTGCTTCGGCCTCCCAAGTAGCTGGGATTACAGACATGTGCCACTATATCTGACCAATTTTTGTATTTTCAGCAGAGATAGGGTTTCACCATGTTGACCAGGGTGGTCTTGAACTCTGGACCTCAGATGATCTGCCTGCCTTGGCCTCCCAAAATGCTGGGATTACAAGTGTGAGCCACCAAGCCTATTTTCTCTATTTTGATTTTTTTTTTTTTCCGGAAGACAGAGTCTCACACTGTCACCCAGGCTGTAGTGCAGTGGTGCAATCTCGGCTCACCACAGTCTCTGCCTCCTGGGTCAAGCAATTCTCCTGCCTCAGCCTCCCGAGTAGCTGGGACTACAGGCATGCACCACCATGCCCTGCTAATTTTTTTGTACTTTTAGTAGAGACGGGGTTTCACCGTGTTGGCCAGGATCTTCTTGATCTCTTGACCTCATAATCCGCCCGCCTTGGCCTCCCAAAGTGCTGGGATTACGGGTGTGAGCCACCAGGCCGGCCTATTTTGATGCTTTGACATCCTGGGGCCTTGTTGACTCTGGAGGGACTGTGCCCACCAGGGTTAGTCCCTGGTTCCTAGAGATAGTAAAAGACTTGCTTGAAAGCATGCCTTTTATATACAAACCAACCAATCCAGATCCCAAACCCCCAACCACTATCCTCCTGCCCTAACTATCCTAGGGACAGGTAGGAGATGACTAGGGAAAGCCCCTATGCCCCAGAGCATGCTGAAATTAACTAGCCTATCTAGGCCCCTGGAGGCAACTCATGCCTGTAATCCCTGGAATTTGAGAGGCCAAGGCATGCAAATTGTTTTAGCCCAGGAGTTGGAAACCAGTCTGGGCAATATGGCAAAACCCTGTCTGTCTCTGCTAAAAATACAAAAATTAGCAGGGTGTGCTGGCCTGTCATCAGCTACTCTGGTGGCTGAGGTGGGAGGATTGCTTGAGCCCAGGAGGTTGAAGGTGCCCTGAGATGTGATCGTGCACATACTCCAGCCTGGGTGACAGAAGGAGACCCTGTCTAAACAAACAAACAAAAACTAGCACATCCTGGCCAGGTGCAGTGGCTCACACCTGTAATCTAGCAGTCTGGGAGGCTGCTGAAGCAGGTGGATCACCTGAGGTCAGGAGTTCTAGACCAGCCTGGCCTACATGGTGAAACCCCATCTCTAATAAAAACACAAAAATTAACCAGGTGTGGTGGTGTGTGCCTACAATCCCAGCTACTTGGAAGGCTGAGGCAGGAGAATCACTTGAACCTGGGAGAAGGCTGCAGTGAGCACTTTTGCACTCCAGCTTGGGCAACAGATGGAGACTCTGTCAAGAAGGAAAAGAACACCTTTTACCTCATTGCACTCCTGAGAGATGGGTTACCAGCAGCTGTACTGGAGCTACCCGGGAAAATCTGGCCAGGGTTCTCGCTCTTGCTGCATCTGTTCAAACTGGCACGGTCTGATCCAGAAGTATGGCCTCTACATGTGCTGCCAGTGTTTCCATCAGTACGCGAAGGATATCAGGTTCATTAAGTGAACTAAATGATCTTCCTTGAAAGGATAATCCAAGGCATCTACCATGAAAAACCATGATATTTTTACATAAAATAAACATTTAAAAACCCTTCCAAAGAAGAAGAAAAGAAAGAAAGATTCTATCCAAATATCACATATTGTGCTATAAAATTTAAAAAAGTAAGAAAGGAAGGAAGAGATAATCTGAATAGATCTATAACAAGTAAAGAGATTGAAAAGAAATTGAATTAGAGAGTAAACAGGTTTGGAGGACCCGCAGGGGCCCCCAGGACAACACCAGAGCCCGGCGCAGCGGCTGTGATGGCACCTTGGTGCGGCAGCGCTCGCGCGCAAGTAAACGGGACCAGTTCCCCTTCTCACCGAGGTTTGGAGCCCCGGGAAGGCAGAGTCGCCTACTACGGACACAAGAAGGAAGCCCGACAGGAGAATCCTGGGAAGAAAAGCACCATCAGTTTTAACGCCGCGGCTCTGGCCCTGGGAACTAACAACCTGGACGCCCACTCAAGAGACCTAATCTGAAAGTTGGTAAATTCAAAGACCACAGGAGGATAAATTTACAATGACGGGAAGAAACCAGCGTAAAAAAGCTGAGAATACTCAAAGTCAGAACGCCTCTCCCTCTAAAGATGATCACAGTTCCACATCGACAATGGAACAAGGCTGATGGAGAACGAGCGCATCCCAATGACAGAAGTACTCTTCAAGGAATGGATAATAACAAACTTCGGTGAGTTAAAAGAACATGTTGTAGCCCAACGTAAAGAAACTAGGAACTTTGAAAAAAGGTTTGATGAAATCCTATTGAGAATAGACAACTTAGAGAGGAGTATGAGTGAATTAATGGAACTGAAGAATACAATACAGGAACTCCGAGAAGTATGCACAGGTTTAAACACTCGAATTGTTCAAGCAGAAGAAGGGATATCAGAGGTCAAAGTCCAACTTAATGAAATAAAACGTGAAGAAAAGATTAGAGAAAAAAGGATAAAAAGGAATGAGCAAAGTCTCCAAGAAATGTGGGACTATGTGAAAAGACCAAATTTACATTTGATAGGTGTACCTGAATGCGATGGAGAGAATGAATCCAAGCTGGAAAATACCCTTCAGGATATTATTCAGGAAAGTTTTCCTAAACTAGCAAAGCAGGTCAATATCCAACCCCAGGTAATACAGAGAACACCACAAAGATATTCCTCAAGAAGAGCAACTCCAAGGCACATAATCGTTAGATTCACCAGGGTTGAAACGAAGGAGAAATACTAAGGGCAGCCAGAGAGAAAGGTCAGGTTACCCACAAAGGCAAGCCTATCAGACTTACAGCAGATCTCTCAGCAGAAACTCTACAAGCCAGAGAGTGGGGGCCAATATTCAACATCCTCAAAGAACAGAACCTTCAGCCCAGAATTTCATATCCAGCCAAACTAAACTTCACAACTGAAGGAAAAATAAAATCTTTTATGAATAAGCAAGAACTCAGAGATTTTATTACTACCAGGCCTGCTTTACAAGAGCTTCTGAAAGAAGCATTACACACAGAAAGAAACAACCAGTATTAGCCTTTCTAAAAATATACCAAAAAGTAAAGAGCACCAATATAAAGAAGAATTTACACCAACGAATGGATAAAACAGCCAGTTAACATCAAATGGCAGTAACCCTAAATTTAAATTGACTAAATCCCCCAATCAAAAGACACAGCCAAAACCCAACGGCATGTTACATCCAGACCCGTTTCATATGCAAGGATACACAAAGACTCAAAACAAAGGGATGGAGAAAGATTTACCAACCAAATGGAGAGCAAAAATAAATAATAAATAAATAAAAAGCAGGAGTTGCAATTCTCGTATCGGATAAAATAGATTTTAAAGCAACAAAGATACAGTGGTAAAAGGATCAATGCAACAACAAGAGCTAACGATCCTAACACCCAGATACATAAAGACTTAGACTCAATGAGACAGAAAATTAATAAGGATATCAAGGACTCAAACTCAGATCCGGCACAAGTAAATTTAATAAATATTTATAGAGCTCCCCACTTCAAATACACAAAATATACGTTCTTGTCAATACCACATCACACCTATTCATAAGTTTAAATGAAACATTGATTGGCCATTATTAATACCCAATTTTTTTTCAGAATAAAACAATATTTCCATTTACTCTCCCTCTTTCTCTTCCTCTTTCTTCCTATCCTTTACTTATTTTTTTTTCTTTCCTTCTCTCAAAAAAAGAAATCAACTTGTAAACCTCTAGATCCAGGTCGGCAATGTCTCTCTCATTGCTTGATTTCCTTCCTTCCCTTCCCTCCCTCCCTCCCTCCCCCCTTCTTCCTTTTCTTCCTTTCTTCATCCCTTCCTTCCTCCCTACCGTCCTCCTTCCCTCCCTTCCTGCCTTCCTCCAAAAAAAAAAAAAAAAATTGAATTAATAAGCCAGGTGTGGTGGCTCATGCCTGTAATCCCCAAGCTGGGCAGATCACCTAAGGTTAGGAGTTTGAGACCAGCCTGGCCAACATAGTGAAACCCTATCTCTGGTAAAAATTCAAAACTTAGCCAAGCATTGTGGCGTGTGCCTGTAGTCATGGCTACTTGAAAGGCTGAGGCAGGAGGATCGTTTGAACCCGGGAGGCAGAGGTTGCAGTGAGTCAAGATTGGGCCACTGCAAAGCCTAGTCCAGATGGCTTTACCACTTAATTGTACCAAATGTTTGCAAAATTAATACCAATTATTCACAAACTCTTCAAACACAGGAGTGAATTTATTTATGAGCTAGTATCACCCTAATATCAAAAACCAGAAAAGGAAATCCCAACAGAAATACAGATTGGGTGCCTTGCCTCCAACCTATAATCCCAGCACTTTGGGAGGCTGAGGTGGGAAGATCACTGAGCCTAGGAGTTTGAGACTAGCCTGGACAACATAGTGATACCTTGTCTCTACAAACTTAAAAATTAGCAGGCGTGGTAGTGCACACCTGTAGTACTAGCTATTTGGGAAGCTGAGGACTCACCTCACCAGATTGTCTGTTTCTTCTTGAGTCACTTTTTTTTTTGAGACAGTTTTGCTTTTGTTGTCCAGATTGGATTGCAATGGTGTGATCTTGGCTCACTGTAACCTCTGCCTCCTGGGTTCAAGCAATTCTCCTGCTTCACATTCCCAAATGGGTACGAGTAGCTGGGATTATTACAGGTGCCCACTACCATACCTGGCTAATTTTTGTATTTTTAGTAGAGATGGGGTTTCACCAGGTTGGCCAGGCTAGTCTTGAACTCCAACCTCAAGTGATCTGCCTACTTTGGCCTCCCCAAATGCTGGGATTACAGGTGTAAACCACCTTGCCCGGCCTTCCTATTAATTATTAAGATTGCTTTGTGTAGTTTCTGCTCAGTTGTTTTTATGGTCCTGTACTCTTGTGCAAAAAAAGAACTGAGACCAGGCATGGTGGCTCATGCCTGTAATCTAAGCACTTTAGGAGGCTGAGGTTGGACCTCATTTGAGTCTAGGAGCTGGTGACGAGCTTGGGTAACATAGTGAGACCCTGACTCTATTAAAAAAAAAAAAAAGAAAGGAAAAGAGGCTGGGTACAGTGGCTCACACGAGTAATCCCAGCACTTTGGGAGGCTGAGGCAGGTAGATCACCTGAGGTCAAGAGTTTGAGACCAGTCTGGCCAACATGGTGAAAACTCATCTCTACTAAAAATACAAAAATTAGCTGGGCATGGCGGTACGCCCCTATAATCTCAGCTATTCAGGAGGCTGAGGCATGAGAATTGCTTTAATCTGGGAGGCAGGCCGGGTGCAGTGGCTCAAGCCTGTTATCCCAGCACTTTGGGAGGGCAAGGCGGGTGGATCACGAGGTCAAGAAATAGAGACCATGCTGGTCAACAAGGTGAAACACCGTCTCTACTAAAACTATAAAAAATTAGCTGGGCATGGTGGTGCGCGCCTGTAGTCCCAGCTACTCGGGAGGCTGAGGCAGGAGAATTGCCTGAACCCAGGAGGTGGAGGTTGTGGTGAGCCCAGATCACGCCATTGCACTCCAGCCTGGGTAACAAGAATGAAACTCCAGCTCAAAAAAAAAAAAAAAATCTGGGAGGCAGAGGTTGCAATGAGCTGAGGTCAGGCCACTCCATGCCAACCTGGGCAGCAAAAGGGAAACTCCATCTCAAAAAAAAGGAAGAATGGTCAGGTGTGGTGGCTCATGCCTGTAATCCCAGAATTTTGGGAGGCTGAGGCACGAGGTCAGGAGATCAAGACCATCCTGGCCAACATGGTGAAACCCCATCTCTACTAAAAATAAAAAAATTAGCTGGGCATGGAGGTGCACGCCTGTAGTCCTGGCTACTCAGGAGGCTGAGGCAGGAGAATTGCTTGAACCTGGGAGGCAGAGGCTGCAGTGAGCCGAGATCACGCCACTGCACTCCAGCCTGGGCAACAAAGTGAGACTCTGTTTCAAAACAAAACAAAAGAAAAAAACAGAAAAAGAAGGACTATTTGCAGCTGATTGTGGCTACCATATTATTATGTATTTAGACTTAATTAGATCTATTATTTTTTGGATAGGGTCTGTCTTTGTCACCCAGGCTGGAGTGCAGTGGCACTATCATGACTCACTGTAGCCTGGACCTCCCAAGTAGCTGGCCATATCGGCATGTACACCACATCTGGGGGCTAATTCTTGTATTTTTTTGGTAGAAATTGGATTTTGCTATGATGCCCATGCTGGGCTGGAACTGCTGAGCTCAAAGATCCACCCACCTCAACCTCCAGTTGTGTTGGGATTAGACATAATCCACAGTGCACAGCCAAGAGTAACTTTTTTTTTTTTTTTTAAATGTGGCATCTTGTTCTATTGCCTAGGCTGGATTGCAATGGCATGATCTCAGCTCACTGCAACCAACCTCTGCCTCCCCTCTGCCTCCCGGGTTCAAGCAATTCTCCTGCTTCCGCTTCTTTTTTATTTTTTAAAATTAATTAATTTATTTTTAAGATGGGGTTT